GAAATTCTAAGGTGATGTTTGGATCTCATTTGCACATCACAATTCTAAAATCATGAATCTTTTAAGACAAACAAGTAGATGGATCATAATATTTGAAAATTTATCAATTTTCATAATAAAAAAAATCCTAATTGAACATAGCCTAAAATCTGTGAACAACTTTTTTGCCTATCAACATTTGTATGCATAAATAAAATACAGCTCATTTCTTTTAGAAACCCTAAAAGTTAGCCCTTCGATTTTCACCATCTTTTCATGCTCCATTCACCCCCACTTTATTTGCTTATCATCTTTTGATGTTCTCACAATTTTACGAGGAGTGTATGATTCTTATGTGAGACTCTTCTATTTTCTATTAAAAAATTAGATTGTATTTATTATATCTAGATCACATGCCTTCTTGTGGCTAGTTTACCTAATAAAACAATGTGGCAAAGAACGGTTGAACCCCCAACAAGGACATAATTGTGTTAAAAAAAAAAAAGAAAAAAAAAGAAAGGGGAGAATATTGTAGTATGGTAGCATGATATTCTAAGTTATCAAATATTTATGAAAAAAATATATATATATAAAAATCGATCATGATTTTGTGATTGTGTAGATTCTCAAAATTTACATAAAAAATATAAGATTGCCCTTTCTAGATAGCAAAAACAAAAATGATCCGTACCTCGAATAAAACGAGCTCAAATGGCTCGAAAGTAAGTTTTCTCTCCTCTCGATCTCTCCAATCAAAACTAGCACTCTGACCTCTCTCTCACTCTCGCCTCATCCCTCTCACTCTCGCTTCATCCTCATCCCCATCCTCTCACCTCTCTAACTCAGATCTAAACTTACCTCTTTACTTTCCAAATAACTCTGTTGTCCGGTGACTTACCTTCGCCGGTGTCGTTGTTGTCGTCGTCGGAGTCTTCGTCGGTTTCAAAGGTCTCGCCATGGATTCGAAGCTTAAGGGTTTCGTATACACACATAACTCTATGTATACATAGATCTTCCCTTCCTCTTCTCTCAAACAACTACCTAAAACGATGATTTGTATGGATCTCTCTCTCTCTCTCTCTGTTCTGTTTGTTTTTGTTGTTGATGATGATGATACGTTGTTGATGATGATGCCCTCTTCTCTCCTCCTCCTCCTTCTTCTTCGTCCTTTTCTTTTTTTTGTTGCAGAGAGAGAAAAAAAAAAAAAAAACCTACCCAGTCGGGCCATTCGAGCCAAATGGAATTCGAGCTACAAAACAGGATTGTAACAAAAAATGGTTATTAGATTTGAAGGACTAATGAGCTAGCAATATTAAATATATAATTTTTTTTTTAATCGGCAAAAAAGCAACTTTATTAATAAAGATTCAAGTATAAAGTACAAACAAAATATATCAATAAAGAAAAGAAAAGTACAAAAGTATCACAATGAACTAAATCATTCCAACTAAATTGGTACCAAAAAGTCCATCTTATCATTTGGTTCATGTTAATATATAAAAATCTTAATATTATTGGTTCAGGTTAATGACAACAATTAATAGCAAGAAAAAAAAAAATTTTAAATCTCAAAACAACTTTTACACGCCCAAAGTTGTTTTAATATATATGTTTTATATTTTTTTTTACACTTTTTGCATATATACTGATATTGATGATGTGAAAGGCTGTCATTAGTATTCTTCAACATTATTTGTGATGTCAATATTTAAAAAAATTCTGTTCTTCTTAAAAGAAACAAAAGATTACCTAGTTTTGATAATCAACCAAGCTTTGATAATCAGCATTGTGTCAGAAAAAATTAAAATATAAAATCCAGTATAGTTAATTAATCAAGTTAGGGGTTGAGACCGCCACAAGCACTACTCCTTTTTCTTCCTACCTACCATGTAATAAAAATAAATAAATAAATAAACAAACGTAGATGAGTTTATACAGAATAATAATAATGGTAGTGGCACCCATCATCACTTCATTCATTATTATTATTATTATATTATATATGTTTTTTTATTTTTTTAAGGTCCGAGTATGATGCTTTGCCCATTTAAACATTTTTTTTCACTAACAGATATGGGTTTATATAATAGAGGGTGATTCTATTTTGTATTCAAAAAATCATTTAATATGTCAAAATTTTTAGTACTTTTTATTAAATTATATAGGGTTATAATTTACTCTCAGTATACCCTATATATTTTTTACAAACTACTCTTTAAGATAAAATCATAATTTATGATGCATCCAAATAATAAATAAATCAAAAATCCTAAATTACACCATTTAAAAAAAAAAATTTAAAACCCTTAAGTAGATTTCTTAAACAAATCTTTCATACCTGTGCAAACTCTTCAACACCCTTGACTAGTTGAAATCTCTTAGCATCAATAAAAAAAGTAGATAAATATCAAAAAAATATAAAATAAAAAGGTAGATGAAATGTGATTTTGAGTTTTCATTACCAAACAATACACATTCAACACAATCAATATCACAATTGGTTTTCATTCTACATGTTGATAAACAAAGCAAAAGAAACATAAAGATAATGAGTGAATCGTTTACTAATCAATCAAGCAGCAAACTTGGTTTCTTTCTGTGCTTCTCAACCATCTTCTCCAGCTAATTCTTTTTAGCCCCAACGATCTGAATATACATATAATTGAGTGATAGATTGTTTTGAAAAATTCTTTTGATTATTATTATTATTTTTATTTTTATTCATTGCTTGATTTTATTCAAATTTTCTTCTATTTGCAAATAACAACACAATAAAAAACAATGATGTTGATGGTAACGGTGAGGAAGAAGATGAAGAGAAAATAATTGGAACTTAGAGAATAATATAAAGAATACGAATGAGTGATTTGGGTGTACTATGAAAAAAATAAAATATTATATTTTAGGATTTAATATTTATTATTTTTATTAGTAAATTTACATTAAGGTATACTTGGAACTAAAATTTTAAATTTTAAATTTTAAATTAAGCATATTGAGTTATTATTTAAGTACAAATAGAATCACTCTAGAACTAATGATGATCTGGGCTTAACTTTCCGGTCCAGTTTTCCAACCCAAAGTAATTTTGTTTAACTAGTCAATAAAGATTGATGGGAGATTCTATTTGAATTTAAAATATGTCTTCGTATGTCTAATTTAAATTTATAAATTTTAATTCTTATTATATCTTAATATAATAAAATATATATTTTTTCCTCATGATACACCTTAATCTGTTATTCTTATTTAAATCTTTATATCTTCTTCCCTAAGAGATCAAAATTATTTCTTCTTCATCCTCCGTCCAAAACTCTAATCCACCCTACTAAAACTCACCATCATCATCAACATCATTGTTTTTTATTATTTTGAAACCCCAAACCCTAGAAGAAAGTTTGAACAAAATTAAACAATGGATGAGAGTAATAATTAAAATAGTTTTTTGAAACAACTCATCAAAAGGAGGTAAGTATTCATATAAAGGGATTTCACAATTTTTGTAGAGTACCATCAATTATTTTCTATATCGTGTTTTGACAAAAATTAAAGGGCCCAGTAGTTAGATTAACAATAACATATTATTGGTGTTGTTCTTATTTTATCATTTAAATAGTACATTTTTTGAGAATTACTTTTTCTTATTAGTGCCTGATGCTTATGTGCTTATAAATTTGGTTTTCACTTTTCCACGAGCATTCTTGTGGATAATTTATAATGTAATTTTTTTTTTGTTTTTGTTTTTGTATTTGAGAATTATTTTATGTATTGAATTTTTTTTGAAATAATTTAGTTTTTTTAGTTTGTTTATTATTTATTATTTGGGTTTACCTTGAGGGTAATTTGAAAAAAATAATAGGGAGTAATGAGAGTAAAATAAAATTTTTCAATAATTAAACATGATATACTTAAAAATTTGGAATACTTAGCCTACGTTTGGTTGTGTTTTGTAAATGTGATTTGAGAGTATGAGTTATATTTTGAGTTTGTGTGTTGTAAAATTATGATTTGAGTGCAGAAAATTTGTTTGATAAAGAGTTTTGAAAATAGTTTTAGAAAAGAGGTTTGATTTGAGTGGGGAATTGTTGATGTGACATTTGATATGTGATACAAAAATTTACAACTCATAACTAAACATACAATTCAAAATTATTTTAAAACACATAAAAAATTAAAAAAAATTCAGAAAATATTTTTTCCGATTATATAAATCAATTGCAAAAAAAAAATTCCGATCAACCGGCTGGACGTCCTGCAAAACCAAATTTTGTAAATGTGGAAAGAAACAACGCTTCTGTCATAGCAGGTGTTCTGTGCAGAGTTTTGTAATTAACATTTCAGACCACTAACCAAACACCATTGTGGAATTAAGGTGTAGAATCGCCATTTCAGTTCACAACCAAACAGAGCCTTAATGATTTTTTTGGGTGTGAATAGAATCCCCACGATTGATCCATTACGTTCATTGGGTTAAAGCCCAATACTAACTAAGTCTGGGCCTGAAAAGTCTCTGGACTCGACCTTGCCGAGATGTGTTGCCCATTTATATTGTGTTTGGTTGAGGGATTTGGGAAGAGATTTGAAAAAAGAAAAGGAAAATATGTGTGAAACTACGTGAAATGTAGGTATATTTTATTCATATTTCACCTATCTTTTCTCTTTTTCTTTTCAAATTCCTTCTCAAATTCCCCAACCAAACACAACATTAAACATTTTCATTAACAGAGATGGGTATATAGAACTAATGATTAATCTGGGCTTAACTTCCGGCCCAGTTCTTAACCCAACAGTTTAATTTAATTTTATTTAACGAGTTATCAAGATTGATCCATATATTCATTGGGCCCAATACTAACTAGGTCTGGGCCTGAGAAGCCTTCGGACGCTAACCCAAACATTAAAAGGGCCCAGTACAAAATCCAAAATATATATAAAAAAAAAGAAACCCTAAACCCCCCCAAAATTCAGCTCTCATAAATATCTACAAACCCTATTCTTCTTGTTGTCAGAGTGTACCCGATTGGAAACTCACACCAAGGTACGTTCTTTTTGAATTGATTTCATTTTTGAATCGAATGTGTCGCATTCACTTCACTGAATCAAAGCTTAGAATCTCTGTGAGGCAAGGAAGCACAATCGAAGGCTTGCAGGTGTGTTTACAAAAGCCTGTGTGGCTCAAAAACTGTGCAACATAAAACACTCACTCACCCTCCTAATAATATGATGATGTTCTCTTGTGAAATGACTCTTTTGCCTGAGGATTTGTCTCAGGATGGTGAACATTTGTACTGCTCTCTCTGATATGCTTAGATTTCTTTGTTTCTTTTAATGCTTCATGGTCTTTTGTTTTGAGTGAAAATTGAATGTATAATTGAGGAGTTTTTTTGGTGGAATAGAGAAAGTAAGTAAATTTTTACAAGGATGGAGATTTTTTTTTGGTGGAATAGAGAAAGTAAGTAAATTTTTACAAGGATGGAGATTTTTGGGATTTAATTGGGGAAAATATGAGATAAATAGGAAGTGCGAAAACTAATTGCAGACATTTTTCGCCGTTTTGAGAAGACTAGTAATGTTGAGTCCATGACAAAGATTATGGTGAGATATCTGTTAATACCAACAGGGTTCCAAGGAAAAAAAAGGAAAACAGGAGACACGCTTACTTCACTTACCAAGAAAAACTTTTTTGGATTATGTTGTGTTTTATAAAATGGATCCTACAAAAATGCGTCTTTTTTATGTTTGGTTGTGTTCTTTTGTGACCTGGACTTCTGCGTGTAATGCTTAATTTTGTTTTAGTTCTAGCTAGGATCAAATGGGACACTTCGTATGTGTGCTAGTACACATCCATTTCTTTTTTGGAGCTATAAAATTTAAATGACTCTGAATCAAAATATTTCATACTGCTTTTGAACCTTTGTTGTATCATAACAGCGTGTTTGGATAAATATTATGTGATTTTTCTTCATTACGTCGAGTGATTTGATAATTTGAACTTGGAATTTTGCTCCAATTACACACTATATTGAGCAAACAAAGAATGATAAGAACTCCACCAAGTAATCACCTTTTTAACATCTTGGTTTTGAACTTGTATTTACTCAGAATTTGAAGATGATAACTGTATTTTATTACTAGTTACATGTTTAAGTACAAAATTTGGTTTGAAGAGCATAATCCCTTTGACTGAAATCCATGTTTTGATAGGAATTTTCAGATCAAGTCAAGAAAATGTCGAACCCAAAGGTTTTCCTTGACATACTGATAGGAAAGATGAAAGCAGGAAGAGTAGTAATGGAACTATTTGCTGACATCACTCCCAAGACTGTCGAGAATTTCCGTGCCCTCTGCACTGGGGAGAAAGGGATTGGTATATCAGGGAAGCCATTACACTATAAGGGATCCGCATTCCACCGCATTATCCCCAGCTTCATGTGTCAAGGCGGAGATTTCACAAATGGTAATGGGACTGGTGGTGAATCGATCTATGGGGCGAAATTTGCGGATGAGAACTTCAGGGTGAAGCATACAGGGCCCGGTGTTCTATCAATGGCAAATGCCGGACCCAACACTAATGGGTCCCAATTCTTTATCTGTACTGAGAAGACAACATGGCTTGATGGCAAACATGTGGTGTTTGGGAAGGTTGTGGATGGATACAGTGTGGTGAAGGAGATGGAGAAGGTGGGTTCGGGTAGTGGGAAGACTTCGGCAACGGTTGTGATTGAAGATTGTGGTCAGATAACAGAGAATTGATGACTGGGGAACTGATGGAAGCTGAAGTTGTGAAGGAGAATGAAAATGTTGGTAGACAAAGAAGATAAATTGGGTTGTCATTCATTAGAGCCTTTTTTGACGGCTACTTACTAGTAATGTCTCTGAATAATTGTACAACCCACAGACAGTGTTTGCAGGTAATGTAATTTAGAATTCACTTGTTAATGAGTATTACAGTCTCTTATTGCTAAAGATGCTATGGTTTGTCACCACAATTATTTGATTTTTAATTTTTTTTTTAAAAACTTGATTTAATGCAAGTTGTTGACTCTGGCTTCTAATATACTGTGTGCGCTGTGTTGAGAGGCCAAAGAAGAAGCAAATAAGCAAAGCAACATGGTCCTCCAGGAGATCCATGCTGCTGGTACGAGGATTTTGTCAACCTTGATTTCCATTGCTGAAATCCCCATCTCCTTGGAGCTTGTTAAATTTTTCTCAACACACAAATTTTTTTTTTTTTTTTAAATTTTTTTTTTTGTTTGGAAATCAACTTTTGAATAAAAATTTGTATTTTAGCTGTACCTTCGGTTTAAAAATTGATTTTCGAACCATAAGTTTTTGTTTGGAAGTTTACTTTGAAGAAAAACCGATTAAAAAAAAAAAGAAAAAAAATTCCTAGTATCTGTTGGACACACACAACACCAACAACTTTCATTTTCTTTTTTCTGTTATCAAACCCAAGCATATACATACATATATATAGAGAGAGACTTTGATTTTGATTATTCTCTGATTCAGAATGCATTCACACGCAACTTCTTCTCAAAACCAGAGACAATGAAAGAAAATATCATCATGATTTCAAAATATGGAACAAATTCAAGTACTATAAACAAGTATGATTCAGCGCACAAAACCAGCAATACTTATTGATATCGGATTCGGCACACAAATCTCAACCGAACTTTCTTCATCTCCTACAAAATTCCGAAGTGATAACTCCTTCAATTTCACTGAACAAATCTTCAAATTCCTAATCGCTCAACAATAATCGATCCCCAAAATCTCAAGATTCGGACACCTCAAAATCAAGCCTGAAACTATCTGATCGAAGACCATCGATTTGAGAGAATGAAATCGCATCGTTGATAAATTTGATGGAACCGAGAGGTAATAATTGTAGAGCTTCAAAACCCTAACTCGGCTATCATTGTCGAAAGGGAAATCATATAAGGCTCCGAATCTAAGTCTGTCGTTGTCGTTGTCATCGTCGTCGTAGTAGATCTGATCGATGAAGAAGTCGAGATCAAGCTCGAAGGCGAGGTGTATATATATATATACACGTATATATAGAGACGATGGCGATAGGGTGTGTTAGGAAACCATTTATATTAGGAAGTCTACTTCTTTTCAATTACTATCTAAATCAATTTAGGAAGTCTATGTTATTTTTCTTATATAAGGATGCTCATTGTAATGGTTTTGATGGGGAGATTTAATAATATTAAGAGTTTAGGTAGCTAATCCCCAATTCAAAGGATTGTTGGTGGCTGATCTCCAATCAAAGGATCAAATTCAAGGTCTAGGACCCTATCATCTAGTATTAGAGCATTTGATCTTTGAACTTCCATATCTTTCTATTCTGTCATTCATCATTGTTAAAATGACTGTTAAGGAACTCAAAGAACAAGTTGCTGCTCTTACTACTAGGATGGACGTGATGTCCACTAATATACGAGAGTTGATACGTGATAATAAACCAATATTACTATTCTTCAAAATATCCAAGTGCTGTTGCAGGATAGGCAATATGAAGCTCGCCTTTCCCAACCTGGCATCAATCTTAATCCATCTATACAACGTGACGACGGCGATCGGCATGCTGGTCTAAATTTTCAAGGTCGAACTCTCCGAATTGATTTTCCAAAATTTAACGGTATTGGTCCTGAAGGATGGTTATTTTAGGCTGAACAATATCAAGAACTTAATGGTGTTTTAGATGCAAAGATGGTTCCTTTGGTTGCCGTGCACCTTCAAGGCGATGCTATTTCTTAGTATCGTTGGATTAAACAGTCCCTTAGGGCTTTGACTTGGTAGCAATTTTCTTGAGCCATATGTACCTATTTTGGTTTTTGACAACACATTGATCCTTGTAGTTCATTAGCCAAATTGTCTCAGATTGGCACTGTTCGTGAATTTATTATGGAGTTTGAGCGACTTGCTAATATGGTTCCAGGTTTGCTTGAATCGCATCAAATTAGTATTTTTCTTTTTGGACTTCGTGCCAACACAAGGGCTGGTGTTCGTTTACTTCGTCCAATCAGTTTAACCGAGACCTTTGAATTAGCACTTGGCCAAGAGGATGCAATTATCGCAACCATCGCACATAATATGGCCAAGACTATCTCTCGTCCATCTTCTTCATGGCCTTTTAACATATCTTATGTACCTAAGCCTGTAAACCAATTGCCATCCTTACCTACTGGTGTTAAACGTTTGTTATGGACTGAACAGAATGAACAACGTGAGAAGGGTCTTTGTTTTAATTGCGATGAGATTTATAAGCCTGGTCATCGATGCCAAAAGCCATAATTATCTCTCTTTGAAGGTGAACCGGAGGTCGAAGTTGAGGACTTTGAATCTGAAACTGTAGTTGGTGATGTCCCAGAACCTCCAACTTCTGAAATTTCATTACATGCTCTTATGGTGTCAACTCGACCTGAAACTATGTGCATCAACGGGACTCCAAAAAATCAACCTATTACAGTCCTCATCGACTTTGGTTCCATACATAATTTTATCCATCCTTTTATTGCTAAATAGTGTGGTTATTCTATTCAAAAGGACAAGTTTTTACGTGTCATGGTGGCTGATGATGGATTTTTAAATAGCTTGAGTAAGTGTTCTGATGTTCAACTTAATTTACAAGGCTATATAGTTTCCACTGAATTTTTTCTTTTGGCTATTAGTGGTTGTGAGGTGGTTTTGGGAGCACAGTGGTTGCGATCATTAGGCTTAATTGCTTGGGATTTTCGCAATTTAACCATGAAATTTCAAGTCGCTAATCAAGAGTTCACTTTGGTTGGTGATGGTTCTCCTACCATCATGCTTATAGATAATAGCTTGGTACATCGTCTTTTACAGTGTGAACGCCACGGGGTCCTTTTATAGCGTAAGCATCAGCCTATTTCTCATCCTTATTCTGCCACTACTGTTGCTGACGTTCTTGTAAGAGATATTGTTCGCTTGCATGGCATGCCTCGTACAATTGTTAGTGATAGAGACCCCATCTTTCTTAGTAATTTTTGGGAAGCCTTCTTCACTATGCAGGGTATGCAATTATGTCAGAGTTCGGCTTATCACCCTCAATCTGATGGTCAGACCGAGGTTACTAACCGCACTTTAGAGTATTATCTTCGATGTTTTGCGAGTGAGAAACCTTACGATTGGTTTCGTTAGTTGCCTTGGGCTAAATGGTAGTCCAATAACACTTATCATTCTGTTATTCAAATGACTCCATTTGAGGCTGTCTACAGCCACCCTCCATATTTAGTTTCGGCTTATCTTCTTGGTACAACTGCTGTTCATACAGTTGACCTTGCTTTACGGGATCGCATTCGTACTTTGCAACTTTTAAAGGATCATCTGCAATCTGCTTAAGCTCGTATGAATTTCTATGCTGATGCCAATCGAACTAAACGCCATTTTGTTGTGAATGATTGGATTTTTTTGAGGCTACAACCTTATCGCGAATCTACAGCTGCTTTGCAACATTATTCTAAGTTTTCTCCCCATTTTTATAGGCCTTTTTGCATTATCGCGCAGGTTGGTTTTGTTTCTTACAAGTTGAACCTTCCTGAAGGGTGTCGCATACATCCCGTTTTTCATGTCTCTGTCTTGAAGTTAAAGTTGGGAGCAAATGTTACTTCCAACCCCTACTTACCTTCTCTTGCTGATGTTTCTGAATAGATGCCTGAGAAAATTTTAGATCGCGGCATCTTCAAGCAGAACAATCAAGCTGTCACACATTGGCTCATTCAGTGGAAGGGTCATTCTGTTAATGAAGCTACTTGGGGAGACCATGCTGCTTTTTGTGCTCATTATCCTGATTTTCTAGCTTGAGGACTAGCTGTGATTCTAGGGCGATTGAATGTTAGGAAACCAATTATATTAGGAAGTCTACTTTTTAATTACTATCTAAATCAATTTAGGAAGTCTATGTTATTTTTCTTATATAATGATACTTATTGTAATGGTTTTGAGGAGGAGATTTAATAATATTAAGAGTTTAGGTGGCTAATTCCTAATTCAAATGATTGTTGGTGGCTAATCCCTAATCAAAGGATCAAATTCAAGGTCTAGGACCATATCAAGGTGGTCAAGGATGGCGGCGGCGATGGAGACGGAGAAATCAAGGGCTCGGAATAACCATCATGGAGCCAGACGATGGAGGAGAGCGACGGCGCCACCAACAACAACATGGTGGTAGTGGAATCAGGGAGGAGAGAGAGAACGTGGGTTTGTTTTGCTTTGCAGACCGTATATAATATATATACATTGGTAGTTTCGTCTTTTTGTATCAACTTATTCTTATGGATAAAGAAAATAAGCGCTTAGACCTTTAGGCTTAGAAACTTTAATTTTAGATTTTTAACCTGAGTGCCCTTTGACAAAAATATTCATTCAAATGGTGGTTTATTTACATATATACAAAAATTATGTATATATTTTACTATATGGTCATAAAATCGATGAATGAGTATTTTGATCCTAATATCGGTATGAACAGTTTACAAAATATTTTTCGTCCTCTTAAAATATTTGTAGGATATAGAGACTAAAATACATTTAAAGATCAAAGTGGTCAAATGTAACAATTTTTAATTAGGGAGAACAAAGTAGTGACAATCCATAGTTGAAGAGTGTAATTTACTCTAAAATATAATATAGATAATATCATAATATTTTTGCTACTTACAAGACCCTCTGAATATAAAGGTATGAAATGAGAGAAGAAAAAAGCTAGACTTTTGTTTAATATGGATGATGATACAATAAAATAAAATAAAAATAGCACCGAAAGATAAGACCCACAGCGAATTTTAAGAATTATTTTCCAACATCCCAAACAAGCTTTAACAGTTTTCCACAAAAAAAGTATATTTTTTTAAAAATTTCGGAGAATAAATTTGTCGTTGAAAATAAATTTTTATTTTTCATTCGGCGACTAAATACTTTTAGTAGCCAAAACT